CAGTGGCAGGTATGTTGGGGTATTTTATTTGTAAGCGGGTTTTGGCAACAAGTTCACAAACAGGTTATGAACTTTAAAAATGCAGCATTCTTCTCCCTGTCCATTTACCCGGAATATTCTCTTCGCGTACTATTAAACTTGCGGAGATTTTGACATAGGATCCTGGACTACTTTCTAACTGAACTTTAAAAAATAACAAAGTATATTTACCTTGTTGCTTGGTGCTGCAATCACACTGTCCGTTCTGACAGACTCCGTGGTGGCTGTTCCCACATACAGGTGGATGACAGTCGTGGTCAGAGCTGCACGAGGTCGAGCTCGAGATCGTGGTCGCTACGGTTGTGTCTTAATGAAAAATAAGATTTTTTTTAAAATCAACAAGAATAAGATTCTTGTTAATAAATCAAATTACGGTACAAAAACGTTTGTGGAACAGTAAATGTTGCAATTATTGTGGTTTGTTTGAGGGGAGACATGGAAACGTTTTGGACAAACTTTGCAGAAACTGACTTTCATTACTGGTCTCGCTTAGTCTGTCTGTATATATGTATATTATGTATACGCCAGACTGAATGTGGTATGTTTGTATATTTACCTTGTTGTTTGGTGCTGCAATCACACTGTCCGTTCTGACAGACTCCGTGGTGTGTGTTCCCACATACAGGTGGATGACAGTCATGGTCAGCGCTGCATGAGGTCGCTCTCTTGCCTACGACGGGGTCTGAATGTAAGGGAAACAAACAAGAGTCTTGTAAATGAAACCATACACACACACACTCAGACACATATACACATACATACACATTCACAAATACACACATACATATTCACACACTCACACACTCATACACAGACACGCTCACAAATTCATACACTTACACACACATACACACACACACAAACACACACACACACACACTCGCCCACACATACACACATAAACACACACAGAGACAGACAGACACACACACACACACACACACAAACACACACATACACACACAGACAGACACACACAGACTAACACACACATATATACTCACATACGCACTCAGACACACATACACACACACACACACACACACACACATACACACACTCACACACACAC